AAGTAGGTTGAAAAAAAATTGCATGTTCACACTCACAATCATGTAGGAGATGAACACATGTCTTCCTCAAGACTCCTAAAATTCCATTTTCTTACCTTATCTGGGATAGACAAAGTTGCAACTCACCAGATATGTTGTATTTTTCTTTTCCAATATAATTGACAAAAGTCCTGAAATATCAAACTGTCCAAAAGAGAAGGGAAAAAGACACAGTTAGTCTCTGCTCTCCAATGTGTCCCTTTTACCCCATCCCCCAAATATAAAGTAAAATTTGGGGTGCTCCATAAAGCTGTGTATTAATGTCCCTTCCAAAAGAGAAGGGAAAAAGACACAGTTAGTCTCTGCTCTCCAATGTGTCCCTTTTACCCCCATCCCCCAAATATAAAGTAAAATTTGGGGTGCTCCATAAAGCTGCGTATTAATGTCCCCTAAAGCTGTGTATTAATGTCCCTCACGAACCCAGTATTTCCTTATTCTTATTTTCTATAGATGCTTCTGAAAATTAAATATGTATATAAATCATGTGAGGGTCTTGTTAAAATGCAGATTCTTATTCATTAGGTCCTGGATGGGGCTTGGGACTCTTCATTTCTACCAGGCTCCCAGGTGATTCTTCCCCTGGCAGTCAGAGGTCACTCTGGGAGTAGGAAGGTCCAGCAACAGGTGGTGCATGACTTTTATACCACTATTGTCATTTGGTGGTAACTGTCTGTTCATCCTCTGTGTTAGACTGTCTGCTCCTTTAGGCAAGAAACGTGTATATATGTGGCATGTACATCTCCAGAGACTAACATATCTCATGTAGACATATAGTGATTATGAAAATACACGTGATAAAAGATTTAGTAAAAAATAAAAATCAATAACACAAATTCATAACAATCTCTCAAGATTGTATGATGGGTTGAGAGACGCCTAATAAGCTAAGTGTTTGGAATGAAAAGACAGTGGAGGGAAGTTTTAAAAAACTATGGTAGAGGTTCAAGGAGAGTCCTGGACAAATGTTTTGAGTACTAAGTATTTAGCATAGTACCAAGCCAATGTGATATTTATTATAGTTAAAATATATACTTGTGAATGGAGTATTAATACAAAAACCAACATGAATAATTGCAAAACAATTATGTGGGACAAATGAAGACAGACAGTAAAGACAGTGTGCTGTGTCACTCCATTTATATAAAGCTCTAGAAAATGTGAAATAATCTGTAATTACAAAAAGCAGATCAGTGACTGCTTGCAGATGGGAAGACAAGAAATCGGGGAGGGAAGGAGGGTTTACAAAGAAGCACAAGGAAACTCTTGGAGATGATGGATATATTCATTGTATGTATGTAGTAATGTTTTTATGTGTGTATAATGTGTCAAAACTTATCAAATTGTATATTTAAATATGTGCAATTCGTTGTATGTCAATTATATCTCAATAAAGCTATACAGCCTCACGATCTCATTCAGCCATCTGTTTGCCAGACGACACAATGATTAAAAGAGATACAATTGTAAAGTACCTAGAAGACTTTCTTAGGGTGTGATAGAAGTTTATCTTTTCCTTACCTCAGAATCTCTTTCCCCTCCCTGCATGAAGATAACTTCGTTTTTATCATTATTTTTAACCGACAAGATAAAATGGTATGTATTTATTGTGTAACTTTATTGGTGAATAGTCTTAAGGGTTTTTTCCTGGAATTGGATTTTGAAAATTCAGGTTTAATTTCTATTAGCTAAAAGATCCTTTGGGCAAGTCCTTTAACTTTTATTAGTCTCAGGTTTCTCATCTGATAAAAGTATGCTGAATGTTCGACCCACAGCTAATTATAGTAAGAATCCTTTGTTGTTGTTAATGAGCACATATATATATGAAAAAGTGCTTTGTGAACTGCAAAGATATATATATGTTGTATACATATATGTAAAGAATTATAAATATAAATACTGAATATAAACAACTGATTAGATCTGAGTAAGAGAAAATCTATGTTCAGTGTTATTTCAGAAACAATTATAGATATATACTCACAAATATTGCTCCCCAGAATGGATAACCTGCTTTAAAGGATAAAAAAACGTCTTCCTCAAAGTCTGAAAAATTGAACGCAGAGCAGACAATTGTTCCAAAACAAAGGCATATCAAACCAATCAGAATTTGTGTTACCTGTTAGAAAAAACACGTGGATTTTGTGAAATTACGAGATATTTTCCCAAGATTGTATCAATTTTCTTATAGCTGAGGCCAAATGTAAGAAATTATTTTAGTGCCTTAGACTGTCCTAAGTAAGAAATGATTCAATCTGAAATTTTCCATGATCCCCTGGCCACTATGACAATTGATACAAGCATTACCTAATGCCTGGATGGCCGACACATTTCTCATGTGCTTTTATTTACATAGTCATGGCAGACATCAGTAATAGTTCTTTCCATAAGTAAAGATTATGAATCCTTCACTCCTATTTGCCATTCTTGTCCTAGTAATTTAAAATCTTTATGAGAAAATGTTTCTCTTTTCCTAAAAGGGCTCGATTAGTGACCAACTCTTTATCTACCAGGATTTTTAGAGGACCTGTCACTCATCATGAACCCTATTGGAGAAAGAGTTGATGCAATCAAATATTCTTTTCTAGAGCCAATTCTTACTCCATCCTAAAAGGGCTCGATTAGTGACCAACTCTTTATCTACCAGGATTTTTAGAGGACCTGTCAGTCATCATGAACCCTATTGGAGAAAGAGTTGATGCAATCAAATATTCTTTTCTAGAGCCAATTCTTACTCCCGTTGAGATTGGAGGATGCTAACTCACCCCCAGGAATATCAACTCTTTCTTCAAAAATGTCAGCCATGTATGCTGGGGTAGAGATGAAGCAGACTTCTTCAGCAGGGTATCATCGTGAACAGATATTTCTGAGAGTTCAAATTCAGGCACCCTGTGAAATTTAACAGAAATTTGGTCATGAGAAAGTTCTCTAACTTCCTAACATAAAGGGAAGTTTCATTTGTTAATATTTTCAAAACAATCCTGCAATTGAAATCTTCATTGTCATGACTAAGAAACTAAGGCTCAGAGGGTCCAAGTAACTGACCAAGAAGACTTGAACACTGTCCGAGTAATTACATGCAACAAAAACCATACCAAGTTTTCTTATATTTAATCCAGGGTTACTAGCACCAAGGTCTTTCCCATTAACCTATATTGATAAATAAAACTGAAAACAGTCAAACAAACACGTTTACCTATGCATATCATAGTCCTTCTATCATAGAAGTGTATCTGAATATATTTTGTCAATGATACACCCAACTTCATGTGCACCGAGGACAGTAGGGTAACAGCTTTGAATGGCTACTTGGATCTCTATTACTATTTTCTTCTTCAAAGCAGTATCCCACAGTTTATGGTTCATAAAGATCAACCAGGAAGGTCACTTTGGAAAGCATTTGTAAGAGCATGTGTGATGGATAAGTGTCCCTCAGCTCATAGACACACAGGCAAGAGATCAATATGCATTGTAAGAACTCTCCTGTCTCACACCCAGAATATGAGCCTCTAGTGTTAGAAAACCTGTTTCTCCAATACACCAGGTGATTAAAAATCTTCCTCCCTACCAGTGAGAGAGAACCACTTGGAAAGTATAGCAAATAGGTATTAATAGGTACCAAATATATTGATTAAACTAGATGGGTCCATGCCTAAATCCATGAATTGACATCTCCCCAAACTGTTACTTTCTCTGGTCCACTAAGTGATTAAGTATTAAAAAAAAAATGATGATAATAATAGCCTGTACCTACCTGGAGGGCCCTTGTGGATTTGGGAGAGTGAGATCTGTTCTGCTCTTATTTTCCATGTCCATTTTTTCATTAACTGGGCTACCCAGGAGTAAAGAATATTGTTACATTAAGACTTGGTGGACTTCCTCTCACAGTGTGCTCTGGATGGCCAGTTAAAATGAGTTGACTCATGGCATTGATGAATATCTTCATACATAAGCCATTTGTCAGACAGATAAGTTTCCCAGCTGATT